AACGCGGTCATTTTGTGTGTCCCGCGCGGTTTCTATTTTGTCGTGCACGGTTTCTATTTTGTCGCTTGTCGAACGTTCGGCGTGTCGCAGGTGTGCGCAGCAGACCCATCAAGAACTCAAGGATGAGTTTGTGATGAAGAACCCGAGCCTTGGTTGCAAGCTTCAAGTGATTTCGAAGCTCGCCGAAAGGGTACACCTCAAGATATTGAAGATTGTTACATTACAATGTGTAGTGTAACATTTCTATGAGTGTAGGCCCTTGTGGAGGGTAGTTTTGAGACCCTTCTTGGTTGGGGACAGTGTGGAACTGTTTTGTCAGAAGACTAGGCAGTACAAGAGAAGAATGACGAAAGAAAGAGGGATTTCACTAGCTGCAGTTGGGATACATATAGCAAACCCTAACTTCGTTGTACTCGCTATAGAGCACCCCACTACAGGCTAGATAATAACATTCTGACACACCCCCATAGCCAAAGTGGGGTGTAATCAGCACAATGAGCAGGCATAGTAATAGTTCACAATTATAAGCAAAGCTAGAGGCGATCACAGAGGGCAAGTGAGGAGGAGGAGGAATTATGAAGGGAGAGAGAGTAGATAGGAGGCGACGACTGAAGCTGCAGACACTCGGGCAACAGGAAGGACTGGCACAGTGGCTACCGGCGACAAGTGCCCCGGACTACATGGAGTAACAGGTCCCGCGGCTACGACGAGCGGCAGGAGCAACGGACCTATGGGCGACCGGCACAACAAGGCTCTCTGGGCTACCGAGAGCACGACGGCTCCGGACTACAGGCGCTGCGAACGACACGACGGTGGCCTCCTCTCAGCCTCCCCAAACAGTCCCACCTCCTTTCCACACACCCCCTGCTGCACCCCTAGCTCCAGTCCCACATCACCCCCCAAGCTCCACTCCTCGCGGCTCCCACACCTCTACCCCCCTCAGCACCAGCTGCAGCAGTGGGAGACGAACAAGGAGGAGGGGAACACCCACACTGCGCACCCCCATGCTTGCCACCCCACACCCCCCACCGCCGCGGAACGCACGGCGGCACGGGAGGAATGGGCAGCACGGGGGGTGGGGGGGGGGGGGGGGGGGGGGGGGGGGGGGGGGGGGGGGGGGGGGGACGGGACAGGAGGGGCCGCGCTCTCCTCCCCAAGGCGCCAAGACGGACGGGGCAGCGGGGGGTCGCGCGCGGCTCCCCAGGGCGCCGCGACGGACGGGCAGGGGCCTCGCGCGGCTCCCCAAGGCCGCGTGGCGGGCAGACGGGCCGCGCGCGGCCTGCAGACCCGCGCGCGACCTGCAGGGCGACGCGACGGGAAGGGCGTGGGCCGCGCGCTGCTCCCCAAGGCCGCGCGACGGGCAGACGGGCCGCACGCGCCCTGCAGCCCCGCGCGCGGCCTGCAGGTCGACGCGACGGGAAGGGCGGGGTGTTGCGCGCGGGTCCCTCACGGCAGAAAACCGCCGCGCGCCTCGGGGCGCACGGCGGGCAGAAACTCGCCGCGCGCCCCGAGCGCACGGCAGGAAGAAACGGCGCGCGCCCGAGGCGCGCGAGAAGCAGAACAGCAGCGGAAGCAGTTAGGTGGCGGGCCCACCCACAGGATCGACCCAAGGGGGTCGACCTGTTCTGATAGCATGTCAGAATACTAGGCAGTACAAGAGAAGAATGACGAAAGAAAGAGGGGTTTCACTAGCAGCAGTTGGGATACATATAGCAAACCCTAACTGGGTTGTACTCGCTATAGAGCACCCCACTACAGGCTAGATAATAACATTCTGACATGTTCCCCATCACTGTACCTCGGTTCTTGGGGTTTCTAGGAGCTGGGAGTCCTTCCCAACTCGTAACTCTTCCTAGTTGTTCGTAATTGTGTGTTCTAAGACTATGTTGCTGCCATAGTGCCGTTCGTTCAAACCGATGCTGTGTCGTCAATTCTGAATGAAATCGTGTGATCTGAATTGCCTATTGTAGGCGACGTTAAGACGCTCGCTCCAGATCCAAGTTGAATGAGGTCAATTGGAGCTGTGACCAGATCGCTATGATTGTTTAAAGCCGCTGTGCTGAAATTTGACTGTGCACTCTATCTCTCGTTTTAGGTACATTGAAGCCTATTGAAACTATAACACGTGTGACGTGACGTGGCGGCTGGTGACTGTAGAATTCCACTACTATAGCAGATTGATAGAGCTCAGAAGCACGATTCCAACGCACCAAAGATTGCAGAAAACGGTCTACTATAACCAGAGATACACACAAACATAGCAGTGGTAATGACTTAGTTGATTTCTGGTTTGTGCTCTCTGGTTTTATACTAGGACGCAATACAAAAACAAAGCACACAAGAAAGTGTCGACCCGGGTCGCGCGCTGAATTTCGTCGACGCGAAATTCCGAGCCTTGAGTTTTGCCGAGCGAATTCCATTGACTGGAATTCCGTAGACGAGAATTTCCGCGACCAGAATTCCGTCGACCACCGACTGTAACTCCCGTGCGAATTCCGTTGACTTCGACACTTCGCTGCCGAGTTTTAAACCGAACGAGACCCAAGATCGATTTTGCCAAAGTGTCCCCAATCTGTCCCCAAACTGTCCCCAATCTGTCCTGCCAAGACACTTTCGGGACACTTGAATCGAAAGGTCTCCAGTTCGAAACTCAAGTGCAGCATAACCAGCCCCTTAGCAGAAACTGTCCTGAATCTGTCCTGAGACACTTTCAGGACAGATTTGCAGGTCACGAGTTCGAATCTAAGCGCCGGCACATTTGTTGCTCATGGCAGCATTTCCTTCTAACACGCCCCCTTGCTGTCAGGAGCACGCTGTACCAGTCCGGCTGCTGCACAGCATCGGTTGAAGGCTGCCTTGTCGAGCCGCTTCGTGAAGAAGTCTGCGGGCTGCGCCGTCGTAGGGATGTGCTGCAGCCTTAGCTTCATGCGCACCATGTCCTGCAGCCACATGTGGCGACGGTCCACATGCTTCATGCGCCCCTGCAGCCCGCCCGCCTGGCTGAGCTGCACCGCTGACATGTTGTCGACGTACAGGGTGGTGGGAACACCCTTCTTGAGTAGCTGAAACTTCCACAGCAGGAACCTCAGCTTGCGCCCCTCCTTTCCTGCTTCCACCGCAGCCACAAGCTCGCTCTCGGTGGAGGAGAGCTTGGTCGCACCCTGCAGCTTCTTGGCCTGCCACGAAACGGCAGCTCCGCCAAGCTTGAAGAGGTAGCCTCCCGTGGATGAACGGTTCTCCTTGTCGCCCGCATCATCCGCATCCGCATACCCCACCAAAATCAAGCTCTCTGGTCCTCCCGTGAACAGCAGCCCCGTGTCTGGTGAGGCAGCCCAGTAGGAGAGTGTGCGGAAGAGCTCATGCCAATGCGCATCCGTCCTGAGGTGTGCACCTGCTGCAAGACGGCTGCACGCAAAAGAGAGGTCAGGACGGGTTGAGATGGCTGCAAACTGCACCATGCCGAGAATTGACAGGTACTCGGTCATGGTTCGGTCGGCAAACTGCCCGGCATCCTGCTTGGCAAAGCTGGCGGAGGAGAGAGGGGTGATGGGCTGCTTCTTCGGTGGCGCCCCCTTGAAGAACCGCTGCTGCACCTTTGCCACGTACGCATTCTGGTGCAGGAGGAGTGTCCTGTTGGGGCGGTCGCGCACAATCTGCAGCCCCAGGTAGCGCTCCACTGGCTCCACCTCACGGAGCTGAAACGCCTTGGCCAGCAGTTCCTTCAGGTCCTGCAGCAGCTGCTTGTCTTCACTTGCCGCTAGCTGGTCATCCACGTAAATTAGCAGCCGCACGCGCTTCCCGCTCGCCCCATCCTTGTAGTATAGGGCCTGGTCCACAAGGCTTTTCCTACACCCCTCCACAAGGAGCACCTTGTCCAACTCCTTGTACCACAGAAGGGGACTCTGCTTGAGTCCGTAAAGGCTCTTGTGCAGGAGGCACACCTTGCTGCTGCCGTCGGTGAAGTAGGGCGGCTGCTGCATGTAGATCTCGTGGTCGATGGTGCCGTGAAGAAATGCATTCTTCACATCAAGCTGTAGCAAATCCAGGTCCATAGCTGCTGCGATTGAGAGGAGCACGCGGAGACGACGGAGACGGCGGAGCGAAGAACAGTCGTGCCGGCGCAGCTGCACCAGTACCTCCAGCAGCTCCCGTACCTCCAGCAGCTCCAGAAGCTCCAGTCCCAGAGCCGACACCCCCAGTCCCAGGGTCTCCAACCTCTGTGTCTCCAGCAGCAGCACCCCCAGACCCAGCACCTCCAGTCCCAGAGTCTCCAGCCTCAGTGTCTCCAGCAGCAGCACCCCCAGAACCAGCACCTCCAGTCCCAGGGTCTCCAGCCTCAGTGTCTCCAGCACGAGCACCTCCAGAACCAGCGACTCCAGCACCTCCAGTAGACAAAGGACCAGCACCACTCCTAGCTCTAGCAGCACGACGCTGACGGCGACCGGTGTAGCTGCCAACAGGAGCATAGGTGTCGTCATAGTCGATGCCGAAGCGCTGGCTAAAGCCCTTTGCCACGAGCCTGGCCTTATACTTCTCCACGGTGCCATCAGGTCGTAGCTTCTTCTTTAGTAGCCATTTGACGCCAACTGTTTTGCGACCTTCGGGTAGGTCGGCCAACGACCAAGTGCCTTGCTCATCAAGGCTCTCCATCTCCTCCTTCATAGCAGCCCACCATTCCTTGCCTTCAGGTCCGGTCAACGCAGCTGCCAGGTCGAGGATGACACCTCCCCAAGCGCCTTCCTCCTCCTCATCCTCGTCCGGGTACTCCACTTCGGCATCGCTGTCCGTGTCGCAATCATCCTCAGCAAGGTACGCCATGTCGTACGGGTTCTCCTCCTCGTCCGCATCATGGGCCGTCAGGGCTGATGGCTGAAACCGTACGGGTGTCACCCCCTTGTTAGGCCTGCTGGAGCGACGTGGGGGTTGTGGAATGGGCTGGATGGGAGGAGCTGCAAGTGAAGGCTCATGCTCATGGGCCACCAACGGTTGCTCATTCACTGCTACCTCTCCTTCCTCCTCAAGATCAGCCGTGTCGCCTCCGTCCTCAAGGGAACCATCCTCTGGTCCCACGGGCGCCGAATTAGTAACGGAGGGTGGACCAAGAGGAGGAGGGGCAGTAGGTGCCTTGCTGCCCAAGGGGCCCACCGAGCGATCATAGGGTTGCTCGCCCCCTTGTACGGACGGCACCGGGACCACGATGACGGTACGTGGTGGCGACTAATTCTGCTCGGGGTCATGGGGCTCAAAGAAAAGAGATGGGACCGAAGCAAAGGGTGGTGTGGGCTGATCATGCCCATCACCCGCGTGTGCACGCCACTTCTGCCACCTTTCAAGTGACATATCCTCATAAAAACGTGCATCCTGGGTGATCACCATGCGCTGTGACTCAACATCCACCACACGCCATCCCTTGCTTTCCATGCTCATGCCCAAATGCATGCCCCAACGAGTCTTTCTTGCAAGCTTCCCCTTACGCTCGTGCTCAGGAATGAGGTACTGAACCATGCACCCGAACACACGGACCATGGACACATCGGGCTTGACTTTGAACACCACCAAATGAGGGGTCACACCATGGGGCAAGGTGGACTGGTGCACACGGTTTACCACCCACAAGAACTGTTGGAAAGCGAAGTGCCACCAGTGTGCTTTCACCCCCATGTGCCCCAACATCACACGCATGCCCTCGGTTACCGTACGGTTGCGGCGTTCAGCCACACCGTTCTGTTGGGGGGTCGAGGGGCAGGAAAGTTGACGCAAGATCCCTCGTTGCTTCAGCAGCAGCAGAAACTCGTTCGACATAAACTCTCCTACATGGTCCGACCGCAACACCTTCAGCGTCATCCGGGTCTGGCGTCATTCGGGAAGCCACTCCCTGAAGGCAGTAAGCGCATCACTTTTCAGCTTCAACGTCGTCCCCCAGGTGTACCGCGAGGCATGATCCACGAAAAGAATGTAGTACCTGCTGCCATCCATGGCTGGGGTCTGGAATGGACCGCACACGTCAGTATGGACCAGCCCAAGAACCTGCTCCTCTCGCTCGTCGTGCAGCGGAAACGATTCACGAGTGAGTTTGGCTTCATGGCAGGAGGTGCACGGCATATCCTCACCTCCTTTCTCCAGGTCCATACCGAACACGCCACCGCTCATGGCTGTCCGCTTCACCGCATCGAAGTGGACGTGTCCAAGGCGAGCGTGCCACAGGTTGGGCGTTGCCTTGGAGCCCACCGCATACGTCTTGAGGCTGGCCGCTCCATCCTTAGTTTCCGGCTTGCTTGACGCCACATCAGCAATCTCCTTCGCCGTGCCGTTGCATGCCGATGCAGCCCCTGTGCCGTTGCTCGCCGCTCCAGCCGCCATATTGTTGCATGCCGCTGCAGCCGTCGTACCGTTGCATGCTGCAGCCGTTGCACCGTTCCTTGCTGGCCCCGGTTTCAGGTCAAGGCAATGAAGGCGATGGCGGTATCGTGCCGTTGCAGCCACTTGACCTCCTGGTGCGATGATGCAAGTGACACCTTCCTTGGTTTGCATCTTTGCTCCATTGTCCAAGAGCTGCCCAGGGGAGACCAAGTTGGCCTTCATTCCTGGGACAAAGAGGACATCATGCAGAGTCACGAGAAAGCCGTTAGTGCCCTCCAGCAAAACCTCACCAACACCGGCGACTTCCTGCATTGAACCATCAAACCCTTTGACGGATTTTGTTGCAGATGGATCACGGATCATCGTGAACCACTCCTTGCTGCCGGACATGTGTTGGGAGCATCCCGAGTCAAGGAACCACAGGTCCTTGTCGTTGACCAGCAGCTTTGCAGCCGAACACGCGACGGTGAGCGCCACGCCCTTCCCGTCTCCTTCAGCAACGTTCGCGGCTGCCGCGGGCGTTGCATCCTTCTTCTTGTTGGGGCACTTGGCAGCCATGTGCCCCTCCTCATTGCAGTTGTAGCAGCGCCCCTTGAAGGGGCCTCGCTTCTTCTCCCGCTTGCCATCCTTCTTCTTGTCCGTCTGCTCCTTCCCTCCTTTTCCCTCCTTCCCGTTGACCCCCGTTGTAGCCACGATCGTGTTGACGGCGCCCGAGAAAGCAGATGCATCACTGGTGATCTGCTTGTAGCTCTGTTCGATGGAGAGAGTCTGCTCCTCCATCAACACCTCGCTGCACACACGTTCCACCGTCATGTCGGGGCTGGAGATGTCAAGCTTGCGGCGAAGGAACCCGTACTCTGATGGCAGGCCCTTCAGCACGTGAGCGGCAAACGTGGCCATGTGGACCTCCTGTCCAATGGTCAGCAGCTCCACTCGGATGGTGCGGGCCCTAGTGCAGTAGGATTCCGCCGTCTCATCATCTCCCTTCCTGAGTTGGGCTAGCTGGGTCTGAAGTAGGGAAGCGTGGAGGGCATCACGAGCTTGATAGGTAGACAAGATGTATGCCCATGCCATCTGCCCGGCTTTCTCTTGCTGAGAGAAACCGGCAATAGACATTCGGATGGGTGGAGAAACACAACGATTCAGCACCATGAATGCAAGCATTTGACCCTTTGCGTACTGCCTTCGTTGCAAAGGGTTATTCGGGGTCGGGCTTGGTGCTGTCCCGTTGCAAAACTGCCACAAATCAGCGCATTGGAGCTGAGGTCGGATGGCGCTGACCCACGCGGTGAGGTCGTGCCTTCCCTCCAGCAGCGGCGTCATGGATATATGCTCTACTCCAAACTTGAATTGGCCGTAGCTCGTCCCGATCATTCCCGTATCAATGGTCGGTGCAACAGCTCCTCCTCCAATGCCCACGGCCGTTGGAGCCTCGTGCCTAGCTCCTCCTTCACCGGTTCCTCCTTGCTGGCCGCTCGCAGGTGCTTGCTCCGCAGCGCGCTCCCGAACCATGCGTAGTAGACGACCGTCCACAATGAGGTCGACCTCCTCATCACGCAAGTTAGGGTGGTGCTCACGAACGGACGCCTCCAACTCCTGACGGGCATTCAGGCCCTCGGCGCTCGTTAACCACTCCATCCGCGGTCAAAACGAGCGTCGGCCACACCAACGTAGGAACGAAGTGACGGGAGGACGGAATCAAGTCGCTAGTTGGATCGACGAAGATAACGCAGCTCTGACACCATGTAGAATTCCACTACTATAGCAACTTGATAGAGCTCAGAAGCACGATTCCAACGCACCAAAGATTGCAGAAAACGGTCTACTATAACCAGAGATACACACAAACATAGCAGTGGTAATAACTTAGTTGATTTCTGGTTTGTGCTCTCTGGTTTTATACTAGGACGCAATACAAAAACAAAGCACACAAGAAAGTGTCGACCCGGGTCGCGCGCTGAATTTCGTCGACGCGAAATTCCGAGCCTTGAATTTCGCCGAGCGAATTCCATTGACTGGAATTCCGTAGACGAGAATATCCGCGACCAGAATTCCGTAGACGAGAATTTCCGCGACCAGAATTCCGTCGACCACCGACTGTAACTCCCGTGCGAATTCCGTTGACTTCGACACTTCGCTGCCGAGTTTCAAACCGAACGCGACCCGAGATCGATTTCGCCAAAGTGTCCCCAATCTGTCCCCAAACTGTCCCCAATCTGTCCTGCCAAGACACTTTCGGGACACTTGAATCGAAAGGTCTCCAGTTCGAAACTCAAGTGCAGCATAACCAGCCCCTTAGCAGAAACTGTCCTGAATCTGTCCTGAGACACTTTCAGGACAGATTTGCAGGTCACGAGTTCGAATCCCAGCGCCGGCAAATTTGTTGCTCATGGTAGCTTTTCCTTCTAACAGTGACGTGTCGGCGAGGTGGGTTGGGCGCGATGACGTGGCGGTGGTATGCGTGTAGGGGTGGATGGCGTGGCATGCGGGGCTGGTGTGACGTGGCATTGGGGTGAGCGGGGCGCGTGTGACGTGTCGTATCGGCGAGGTGCGTTGGGCGCGATGACGTGGTGGTGTTATGCGCGTAGGGGGGGGTGACGTGGCATAAGCACCTTCTCATCACCTAGCACCGCACTTAACCCACCACACGCTCGCACGTCCAACGCTCGCAGACGGGGCTCCCCAGTAATATAGGGACGGGTGACGTCAGCACATGCCGCCCCGCCCGCCCTGGCACAGAGGGATTTCGAGGCAAACGCGAAAACCCTCTGAATCCCTCCGGATCCCCCGAAAATCGCTCCTGAGCAGGCGAAAAAACCCTCCGAATCCCTCCTCCTCAGTGTCGTATTCTTACGCGCATATATATGTCAGCCGCACTGTTGCAATTTTGGGGACATTTATCTAGCACTCCTCGACGGACACTGACCAATCACGGTCGCGGTCAAACGTTTCAATAATGTTAACTCAGATCTGCAATAATGTTAAAAGTCACGCTGCATGTGCTATTTCTCTACACAACTTCTGGTTTTCGACGGGAAGGGTATTTCAGCTCACCGCTTTCTGTCGAGGGGGATTATTTCTCGACGGCACCTCGTTCTTCGACAGGGCGTTAAATTTTGAGTTCCGCATTTTTCTTGTCTTCGACAGAGCCTTAGTTGGCATTAAAGGGTGTGTCTCCTTCGTCAACCACTTCAATTAACGGCAGATTTTTCTTCTTCGACGGAAAGTCAAATTTGATGTTCGACAAGAGGTGCTTCCGAGATGTTCAACAAGACTTTGGGATTTTGTTAAACGTTTCCGTGGTAACCGCTTGTCCGTGTTTGTACTTTGTCGAAAAGGTATAACAACTACCGTAAGGTTTTTAAAAGTGTGGCGGTACGTGACAGTTCGACAGAGCATTTTCAAACTCTTTGCCCTTACAATTTCAATTTTTTGTCGAAAGAGTACCTCAAACTTTCTGTAGAACAGAGAAACTCATCCGATAAGGTTACGATTTCACACTCTGTTAAAAAGGTTTACCGAGACGGTGCTCGATGAAATTAATTATCGACAGCAGAGGCCGTTTCTAGATTTCGGTGAGTAAACATCTGCATTCGACGCGGAAGTTGTCGAGCTGCGCATTCTCCCCATTTGTCAAAATGAAAGATTTCGACGGAAAAAAGTGTCAGACATACATGATATAGCCTGTGTAGGCTGTAGTGGGGTAGCCAATAGGGGGTACAGCTTTTCTAGGGTTTCATACTTGTACCTTTCTCATTCCTAGTCAATTCCTTCCTCGTTCTTATTCTCACATGGTTTTAGAGCAGAATCGTTCCTAGGGCCCACCGAACGTTCCGCCCTGCCCTAACTCAAAAAAAAAAAAAAAATGAAATTAGCTGCCCCTGCGGCCGCGCTGCCCTTGCAGCCCGCGTGCTGCCCCTGCGACCGTGCTGCCACTACAGCCGTGCCTGCCACTTCAGCTGTGCCTGCCCCTGCAGCCGTGTCTGCCTCTGTAGCCCGTGGGAGCTGCCTCTGCAGCCCGCGCGCCGCCCTCAACCGTGCCCGTCGCGACGCCCCTGCGGGACCCGCGCGGCGTCCCCCTCCTGCTCGTCGCGGCGCCCTCAGGGCGTCGCCCCTGCTCGTTGCGGCGCCCCCTGGGCGCCGTCCCTGCTCGTCGCGACGTCCCCGGGCGTCGCCCCTGCTCGTCGCGGCACCCCTTGGGTGCCGTTCCTGTTCGTCGCGGCGCCCCCTGTGCGCCTTCCCTGCTCGTCGCGACGCCCCCGGGGCGTCGCCCCTGCTCGTCGCGGCGCCCCCTGGGTGCCGTTCCTGTTCGTCGCGGCGCCCCCTGGGCGCCTTCCCTGCTCGTCGCGGCGCCCCCACGGCACCTTCCCTGCTCGTCGCGGCACCCCCGGGGCGTCGCCCCTGCTCGTCGCGGCGCCGCCCCCCCCCCTCAGCAGCTGCTTCGGAGCCCCGCCCTGCAGCAGCTGCCTCGGAGCCCCGCCCTGCAGCAGCTGCTGTGGAGCCCCCTGCCGCCGTAGTGGCCCCGCCCTATAGCAGCTGTCCCTGCTAGTTCTGGAGGCGCTGCGCGGCCGCGGCCGTACTTCGTTCCGCTCCTTGACCAGGTTCTTGGTCTCCCGCCTTCTAGTGGTCCTGCTCCTTCCGTAGAGTGTCCACAGCCCGTCCAGTCCGAGTCACAGTTACAGCCCGCCTCCCCACTGCCTGCTCCTTCTCCTTACACTGGTCCGACAGGAGGTCTTACGGAGCGTCGTGAGCCTGAGTCTCGTCCTGCGTCGCCTGTTTGCGTTGTTCGCACTGGTCGTCGTGCTCCACGTGAGCGTTTTCCTCCGGTCCCTGGCACGCACCAGATGGCTCTGCGTCCTTCCACTGCTCCTCAGCGTGTACCTTTGCTGTCTCCTCCTGCGTCCTCTCTTCCTGCCCTTGCCAACCCGGTGTCTGACTCCCTTCGTGCTGCTAGTCCTACTGTCACGCGTCTCCTGGCCACTGTTGTCACTGACCCTTCGTTTGAGTCCACTGCTGCGTCTGCCTTAGTTGCTGAGCTTGTCGACTTTGCTGCTCACTGTCGTCTAGACTACGCCGCGAGTCTTGTTGCTGAGTCTGACTCTGTCTGTCCTCCGTCCGTCGGAGGTGAGTGTGCTCTTGGCACGGACGTCCTTGAGGACAGGCAGGAGGACTTTGAGTGATTTGCAGCCACTGTACCTCATCTCGTGTCCATGCTAATTGCACCTGAGGGAGACCCAGATGCACCAGACATCCCGACCTCGCGCTCTTACGCAGAGGCGATAGAGGGTCCCTACTCCTCTCAGTGGCAGTCAGCCATGGACGCAGAGATGGCATCCTGGAAGTCCACAGGCACTTACGTCGACGAGGTTCCCCCTCCTGGGGCGAACATCGTCAGTGGCATGTGGATTTTCAGGGTGAAGCGGCCGCCGGGTTCTCCGCCTGCCTTCAAGGCGCGTTACGTTGCTCGAGGCTTCAGTCAGCGACAGAGAGTTGACTTCTTCCAGACCTTCTCCCCGACCCCGAAGATGACCACTCTTCGGGTGTTGCTGCACGTTGCCGCTCAGCGTGACTACGAGCTTTACTCTCTTGACTTCAACACTGCTAACCTACAGGGCAGCCTGCACGAGGAGATCTGGCTGCGCCGCCCACCTGGCTTCACTGGGTCGTTTCCTCCTGGTACCAAGTGAAGCCTCCCGCGGCCTGTCTACGGTCTCCGCCAGGCACCCCGTGAGTGGCACGACACACTGAGGACTACGCTTGCGGCTCTTTCTACTGCTGACCTGTCGCTGTTTCTGCGCACCGACACTTCGCTGCCGCCGTTCTACATCCTCGTGTACGTCGACGACTTGGTCTTTGCCACTGCTGACACTGACGGACTCGCCCACGTGAAGTCGGAGCTGCAGAAGAGACATACGTGCACAGACCTGGGTGAGCTGCGCAGCTATCTTGGCTTGCAGATCACCCGGGACAGAGCACGGCGCACCATTACCCTGACTCAGTCACACATGGTGCAGCAGGTCCTTCGGCACTTTGACTTCACGTACTCCTCGCCTCAGGCCACTCCTCTGTCTACTCGCCACTCGCTCTCAGCTCTGCCTTCGGATGAGTCCGTAGAGCCGAGTGGCCCGTATCCAGAGCTTGTTGGCTGCCTCATGTACCTGATGACCTGCACTCGACCTGACTTGGCATACCCTCTTAGCATCTTGGCACGCTATGTTGCTCCTGGGAGACACCGACCAGAGCACATGGCTGTAGCGAAGAGGGTGTTGCGCTACCTGTGCAGTACGTCGGGCATGGGGCTCGTGCTTGGAGGACGGGCTCGAGTTGTCCTCACTGGTCACGCAGACGCTTCTTGGGTTGACGACTTGGCTACGCAGCGGTCGTCACAGGGTTACACCTTCAGCCTTGGTTCCAGCTCTGTTTCGTGGCGGTCTACCCGCTCGTCCTCTGTTCTCAGCTCCAGTTGTGAGGCTGAGATCTACGCTGGGGCCATGGCTGCACAGGAGTTACGCTGGCTCACCTACCTGCTGACCGACTTGTTCTCCTCCAGTTCTGTACGTTGACAACAAGGCCATGCTGGCCTTGTGTCAGGAGCACAGAATGGAGCACAGAACGAAGCACATTGCTCTGCGCTACTT